CTTCTTATATTCATATCTTACATTATCTAAAACACAATCTTTCTTATAAATCCAAACTAGTACGTACCCCGTGCGATGCACGGTAGAGAGATATTAAATAAATTATTTTCACAGGCTCTGTCCGTTTAAGTATGAGAAGGGTTATTATCTATTTTCCACCTATTTTAATCACCATTAAGTCTCATTTAAGTCTGAAAAGAGTTATCATCTATTTTCCACCTGATCTTTTGATCACCGTTAAGTCTAAAAAAAATAGGGTTGTAATCTATTTTTCACATCTTTTAATCAACGTTGTTTTATTAGTCAGAACATTAACATAATTAATGTATTATCTCACTAACACATTTATACTAATATAAATTTAATTTTATTATATATATTTATTCCTTGATATAAGAGAAAATAACAATTTTACTTATTCTTATTCACTATATAATAGTTAATTATTAAACTTTGTTGCGATATAATGTCATTATTATTTATAAAGTTATACAAGTTGCACGTCTTCTTGTTCTTTTTATTTTATGTAATGAAATATATTTAATGCACGTTGGTATTATTTATATAAGTAATCAATTTAAAATATGTAAATAAATTTAAAATTAAATAGTGTATAAATAATGTACAAAATTTACACATATATTTTGTTAGAATTTAATTTTGTATACTAATTAAACAACTTTGATTTAAGAAAAGCCATGAACTCAATCTCTTCTAATATCAATATTTTTCTAATTTGCATTGTAATGATTATTCTTATTATATATATAGATTAGAATTTTTGCGACACCAACCAAACTAAATATCACAAGTAACAATTATGAAAAAACCCATAACACAACAACTATCAATTAAATTTGGTAATAGAAAAATTACATACATATATATAAAAATATGAGGATTTTATATTTCTATTAACTGATGTATACGCCACGTGTATATTTTGTAAGGTATATTGGAATGTTCGATTTCATAGCATGATAACGATCAGTCTTAAAAAATCGAAAATCTTATTGAAATGCCATATTTTCTGTAAAAAAAAAAGTTCCCATAAAAAATAATTATATCATAGAAAATTCATTGTGTAATTAAACAAATTTCTATAATGAAGCCCGATTTTTTGTACAAAAATAAAGCAACAACTTCCACATTTTAAGGAAATCAATTAATGTTGGTCCGTTTTTGCTAAGAAAATAATAAATAAATAAATTGTAATTAATGAAAAGTAATTAGTGATGAGAGAATTTGACCATATCTGTTTTTAAAAATCGTAACAGAAAAACAAATATTAAATAAAACTGTATAATACGGAAATAGTAATGACAATAAATGCTGTTGATTTTTCTAACTACTAAATTTGGTAAATAGGACTCCCTTTAATATAAGTATAGATTGCATGAGTAATAACACTAGTCTATAATACTATGAAGATATAAACATGACTTACTTTATTACTAATTATTAAATATAAATAAATTGCAATTATATGATAAGATATACTAGTCTTGCAATATTTTTCAAGCAGATACTTGGATTAAATTTAATAACCAAATGCACCTCATTTAAAGTGCAATTAATTAAACTGAATATAAACATGCCTGAAAAATAGCTATTTTTGACATATCATCTCTTATTATAATATAACATAAAATATCACATTAGTTAGGTGCATTTATCAGTTTTTACATGTAGATACATTACTGAATATTTTTTTATTATAAATTTGCAACAGAAATTAATATAAATGCAATAAAGAAGAAGAAAAAAATTAACCTATTAATATACCCATAAGTCTATGGTTAAGTATGTCCAACTATACTTTATTTAAACATATACATATTTTCAAACTAAAATATTATTTCTATAAAAAAAGATAAACTGAAAACTTAAATTTCACAATATAAGTTTGTATTTTTACTATAAGGATATGATCACTGGCGGATCCAGAGGGTTTCACCGGGGGCACGTGCTCCCCACTGGAGATGGCCTATCTTATAGTATTTGATTATTATTTATTAATTTCATTGTTCTAAAATTATAAAAATCATAATTAATTAGGTGAATTATTTTGCTAGGATTATTAATATGAATTGGGCTGTCAAAAATATTAATATTTCATGTTTAAGAATTAAAAAAACTCACTAATTGGCCTATAGTAGAAAAAAAAAAAGCTTTATTTTTATAAGATATTATATATGTTAAATAAAAAATGACTTCTTTGAAGTGAAAAAAATTAAAGAACAAATAAATTATTTGAAAATTTAAAATTTTACTTTTATATCATGCTTAGAAGTTAGAAATATGTGTTTACCAAACTTTGTTCTCCAATTAACTTATTAAATCAATAAGAATGTATGAGAAAAATATTTGTTTAATACGAGGATAATTTTCACTAGCATATTTTATTTTATTTTTTAAAAAAATATCATGATTTCAATACTCGACAATGTTAATGTGCCCTTACTAAGATTTTTTCCTGGATCTGCCATTGGATATGATAGACCTTCTGCCTAACACTCGTCTCATATAAGAATTTATGTTACTATAAGTATGTTTTGATAAATTTAATGTAAACGAACGAGTAATCAAACTCGATTTCGCTCGTCTATTAATATTAACTAGCCAACCTCAAGTTTTACTGAGTTGAATTATAGAAATATAAAAATCTCTCTTTACAAACCTTATTGAGGTGAGACAAGGCAAGTTGTCTCATTAACTAAACGAGTACTCGGCCCAAGTCGAATCTTAACACGTGGAGGAGCTGCTCATTTCCTTTAATAACTATAATCACACTTTTTTTTTAATAACTATAATCACACTTCTACCAAACGTTCTTTATGACTTGAGTGAGTAAATGGTTAGATCATAAAGTTTTTGGTTCATAAACTGATAAATATGGTTGGACCAATTGGTTAGCCCGAAAACCAAAACACAAGAAGCGGCCCAAACTAAACGGAACGAGTCGACTCGCACGCACCACTTCTTAACAATCTCCGCACAAAATTTGTAACTACATAGTACATACTTTGTCTTGTGATGATGATCAGAGAGACCATCTCATAAACAATGGCGGTTTTTCAAGAAATTCAGTCCGACCATGCCTCGCCCAAAAGACGCCGCGCAGATAACATACCCGACCATCATCCCAAGTTTGACGACAATAAAAAAAATCCTCATCCATGGCCTTCGCAGCCTTTCAGGTTCTTCATTTTCTCTCGGATTTTTGGCCCCAACATAACTAACTCTTCAGACCCACTGCAAATTTCAACATCATTCTATGGGTTTTCTTTTTCTTTTTCTTTTTCTCCTTTTTGTTCACCTTGCATTTGTCCTTTTTTTCTCTCTGGTTGATTTGAATATGCTGACAAAAGTTCGATTCTTCCCAATTTGTTTGGTTTTCTTTAATTAATATAAAAGATCAAATCTTGCGCATAACTTTACTTGCCCTTTGTGATTAGACTGTGGTCTTGCATTGAAAAAAAAATAAAAAATATTATACTACAACAATTTACACCATAAATATGCGGTTACATGATGTCCTGTCAAATGGGAGAGGCCTAAAACTGAAGTGATTTTTGAAGTTGCATGTAGTCCTGAAAATGGCTCAGGATGAATTAGTTATTCTTACTCTGATCATTCGATTAATTTCTACTGTTTAGGATACAGCGTGAGGCGTCCAAGATTTTAAGTCCAAGAGATGTTAATCCGAAAAATCCCCAGCTGCAAATAAGTGCTCACGACTCCTTTGTCTTGACTAAAAGCCACAAGATCATAGAATCTCTTCCAGGCACATTTAAACAAAATCTTGTGGTATATGATGAAGGTGATATGAAGTACAACATGATCTTATCGAATCCTATGCCCGGAAAATGTGTAAGATTCTCCATTTCTGAAGATTGGGGAAAGTTTGTTAAGGTTCACAATCTGAAAGCTGGTGATAGGGTCTCGTTTCACAGTGTTCCGGAGGAAAATGTTTATGATGATTACTGTTACATTGTTAAGCATGTTAGGAATTATCCTAGTAAGGATATTGGTAACCAGAATACGAAGAAATTGAGTGGTGCTGGCCGAAAAGTGGAGCATGATAAGAAAAAGGCTGGGACAAAAAAGGCACTTGAGCGGAAAAAGCTTATAGGTGATCATGAAAAATTGCCACTCGGAGTTGGGCATCAGGAAGCTGTCTCACCGGAATATAGAACTGTTAAAAAGAAAGGAATTTGAAAGGGCCAGATTTAAGGTACCGATATTTCTATATGAATCTTCCTAAAATTGCCGCATTAATGTTAAAGGGCCAGATAATGTTACCAATATTTCTTGATGAATCTTCCTGAAATTGCTGCTTGACTATAACATTTGTATATATCTATACACGGACTTGTTTAAGTAGTTTGTCCATGTTTCTTGATTAGATAATTCCTGTCATGTACTTCGCATTGCCTTCTCGTTATCGTATAATATTAGGTGGTAGGAAAAGGGGACTTTTTCTTATTTTAAAGAAATTTTTATTCTTCATGATAGTTAATGTCTTTTGTTGTATTATATCAAGACATCTGAATTACAAGTTCTTTCTCGCACAATGTTTCGTAGATGAAAATATATCAACACTGTTTTCATGACTCCGGTTACTAAGTTTCGTACGGTTTAATGTTTTTTATTCCCCACGTATGCACCTTTTCCCACAACATACGCTTTTTTAAATGTGCGATTGGTTTTGATTATTTCTTATTCTACTGAAAGGCCTGAATTTATATTGTTATGTTTCATTCCATACTGTTATTGTGAAAGTATTCTTCATGGAAGAGCTATGACACGTGAGGCCTACTGCTTGTCCAAGACTCTAACTTCTGTCGAAGTCGTTCGAAAAAAACCGAGGCTATACTTTGATCCTTATGATGCAAGCGTCTTAGCAGATTGTCCCAACATTGGAAGACATCCTCTCATGAAATGCTCAAAAAAATTATCTGTATACGATGGAGAAAATAGAAGATTCCTTTTTAATTTACGGGACTGCACGAGTGGCGGGGTAATCAGGAGCTACTGTATTGATAATGACTGGAAAATCTTTCTTAGGAAGCACAATTTGAGAGAAGGCGATGTGCTCACGTTTTACAGGTTCCGAGAAGCAGGTGTTTTTAAACTTAAATACTACTATGTGCTTAAGTATTTCAGAAAGCCCCTGGATGTTGTTGATCGGTTAAAAAGTAATGAGGATAGAATGGAAAAGATCTTTGATGGGCAAAAGAGAATTGTGCTGGGGCCTGATTCTAGGTACTTATGATTTTCGATTTTCGATTTTCCTCTCTATATTGCATTTATTATAAGGATGTTCTTTGTCTATTGATGCATGGATGGTCCATGGATTTGTTGGGGAATTTGTGGATGTTAAAGTGGAATGAAACCTTTTCATAAACATTGTTATATTGATAGTTGAAATGCGAAGTAGCTAAGGCAAGTGAAACTTTTGTGGTGATTAGGATCTTCATGAAGGATTTAAGTGCGGTAGACTGCCACACTTACATTGAAGTCATTGTACGTGTTTGTTGAAACACAAGCTCTTCTCATTCATAAATATAAAAGTACAACTGTTTGAAAGCTGAATTAATTTTTACATATCACCAGTTTGATGATATTTTCTTTCCTTCTTTTTCCCTTCCTTGAGTAATTTAAGCAAAATAAACTCATTGTGTATGTAGACATTTGTAATTTAAAAGAGATCTATTTTTCTTTGTGCTTTTCTTCTGATTAGGCGAAACTTCCATGTGTCAATTTAAAGTTATCTAGTCAATTTCTATATTATGCCTAGCAATGTTTACATGATTAATATTCCCATGATTGACGGGAGTTTTAGCGTCTGCTTCTATTCTAATTGTGGACTTCATTTAAATAAATATAAAAAGCTGGGTAAAAATTGCAAAACATGGATTGACAAAATGGTCCTGCAAATAAAACTGCTCTAATCTGGTATCAATAATTTTCATTTTCGATTGGACATTGAATTTATTTCCGAATGCTCTTCTCCATTTTCACTTACTCTGTTTTCTCTCCTTCTACAATCTGCAGTGCCTCCTGCTTTTATAAGACTCTAACCTCCATAGAAGTCGTTCAGAAAAATCCAAAGCTTTACTTTGATCCTCACGATGCTAGCGTTTTAACCAACTGCCCTGAGATTGGGAGACGCCCTCTCGGCCAATGTTCCAAGTGGCTTTCAATATTTGATGGGAAGAATAGAAAATATAAGATGAATTTGCAGCACTGCATTAGTGGCGGGGAAATAAGGAGCTTCTGCATTAGTATGGGCTGGAAAAAATTTCTTCGGGCCCACAACTTGCGAGAAGGGGACGTATTAACATTCTATAGGTTCCGAGTCGAATGTGGTGATTCTGAGCTCAGATACTACTATGTGCTCAAGTACTTTAGGAAGCCTCCAGATGTTGATCGATATAAGAATGAAGTTGGCCAAGAAGATGAGTAGAAAAATTAAAGCTAGGTAATTTTAGATAATGCTGGTGCTTACGATAATGTTTTTTTGGTTTATGTTTTTTAGTTTGTTTTGTTTTAAGAATGTTTCTGCAGTGGTGCATGACATTGTTGGTGAAATTGTAGAATTTATGCAGTCATGCGCGCTCATGAACGTTGTCTGAGTTGATTGCTGAGAGACGATGTAGGTAATTAAGACAAGCGTCTCAAGCTTTGAATGATGGCAATGGTTTGTCATTTTGAAGATTTGTAGCAGTAATGAAAATTGACGACCCTTGCGGTTTTACCTAATTGCTTAAGAAACCTACATGTTCTTTTGAAATTGAAGAATCCTAGGTAGTTTTTGTTATCCTAATGAGAGAGAAAATTGCAATATGTTCCAAATTATTTCAATAAAAGTCCTGTATGAAGTATGGAGCCAAAGAAGTTGCTATTTCTGAGTCGTCGGAAAGTTGCTAGAAAAGTAGACGTATCACCGAACTACTGATTTGGAGTCCATTTTTTTTTTTTCTCCCAACGATAGAGAACTCCATTAATAAAGATGAGGAACAAAACAAACCGAGTACAACTCCCGAGGGGACAAACACTGAGAGACAAATAAACTAAAACTAGCTTATAAGTTTAAAAACCACTTACAATATTTGATAACCGATGTAATATATAGAATAGTTTTGGCAACCTTAAGCAGCAAGGGCACCCAAACAGCAAGATCGGACAGATCTTGGGCAACAAGATAAGATTATACTATATACAGGTCTCAAGTATGGAAAGGTAAATGACTCTCTCTCTCTCTCTCTAGAGCTTTTTAATAGACTTGCATATTTATCACCTTTCTTAATCTGAGAACTAACTTGATCGTCGGAGGTCTACCGCTGAGAACACTTCCAGCGTATTTTGCAGGATACTGTGGAGGTCAAATCAATTCGAGGTCACTGGAAGGGCGGTTCTAGGAGGAATAGCACATCAATAACCATAATTGAAAATAATATGAAATTTTTCTACATAAGTTCTTATTCATTCCCGTTTCCATCCTATTTCTATAACATGTGCTTTTTTCCTACCTTATCTTCCCGATCCCCTCAACCGGCAATTACAGTTGGGAGCAGAGATAAATACACATACACGAATCTGGCCTAAGATCAATATACAACACATGTGGGTACATCAGTATTTTAAAACGCAATGCGCGCTATAGGACAAAATAGCACAAAAACGCGACATAGCATTTGTAATTTTGCATTATGCCAAAAGCCTACGCTTTTACGTGGCACGCTATTTTGTGCTATTTTGCATTTTTTACGTATTTTCACGCTAATGTGCCAAAAGAACAAAATGATAAAAAAAATAATTTTTCCCTGACGATGTCATAGCCCAAGATGGCATAACAATCAAAGGATCCAATTTTGCTTTTGCTAGGCCCATAACCAAAAAATCCACTTTCTTTCGATTACGAGGTTTATTCGAATATGAAATTCAATCTTGCAAATCTTATATTAATCTCATGGTTTCGAACTAAAAAATATTTGAAACTACTTTTAAATTTAATTTTAAATTAATACCTTATACAATTGATTTGATAGTTTAAATTAAATTAAATGATAAGTTTAATTATTTAATTGTCATATTATGACATTTATATTAAATATTTTTAAGGAATAGCACTTGAATATTATTGATTAGATTCAATTATTTTGTATGAAACCTTTTTATATGACTTAAATTCTTATTTTTAGTATATGCATATATCTACATTATTTCAAAATAATTTTTTTGCGTCCAGCTATTTACGCTATACAAGAACCTAAATGCGACGCATAACAACATACACTTTTTAAATATTAGGTGCTGGTGTACACACATGTCTTACTTAGAGCAGCTCCAATGCTGCGGTACTCTAGCGCATCATGCTAGAGTTTTGACAAAATAATTGTCCAATGCCGCGCTACATCTTTGCACACTCTAAAGTTAGTATCCCGCTACATCTGGCGCGATACTATTCATTGCTCTACAATTTTTGTTTATTTTTTATTATTTTTAATGTTATATGAATTTTATTTATCTTAAAATTTATTACTTGACAAAACTTGTACCATTAAATCTATAATTTAATTTTCAAATTATATAGAAATATTATTTGTTAGAAATGTATATTTATACTGAATTACTGTAAAATGAATCAAATAATATACAAAAATAATAATTCTTTGTCGATAATATTTCAAACTAGTAGTAGACCAACTAATATCATGAACACATTTATTTTATAAAATAATATGTCCAATAAAATAATGTTTTTTCATGTTAAAGAAATTAAAATAATATGAATAATCTACTACTATATAAAGATGCAATGATATTTACTTGAAATAGCAACTAAAAATAGCAAAAAAAAAAAAAAAATAGTTTCTCGCCTAAGGTATTTACTATATTGAGTAATATTTTTGGAAAAAATTTAAAAAATCCCGCCTAATTTAATGTACAGAATCATTTTGGTCAAATATTGCTATTATTACCTTTATTAGTTGCATGATTTAAATTTTTTAAATTTGAAATATAATATATTGACAAAACTTGCAGTTACTACCTTTATTAGTTGAATGGTTTAAATTTGGTATATAATATATTAAAAAAATAAAAAGTTCTTGATTTAAAATTTAAAATAAAAAAATAATTATTCATAACTTACAGGTCAATATTAACTTGGACGTAAACGAAATAGTCAATTATATATAGTTTAATAAATTACACAATAATTTATAGTCAATACTAACTTTGACGTAAACCAAATTGTCAATTATTTATAATTTAATAAATTACTCAACTACTTATTTTTTTTATTTGAATAGTTTATACTAAAAAAATTATTTTAAGTAATGAAACAACATAAATTTTATATTTATACTTATTATTCACATAGGTTGTTAAATATATGATAACATTTTACTAAAATTACTATTTTATGGAATCACATTATAGTTAAATTGAATTTCTGAATAAAAATTTTGAAATGATACCTATTTTGAAACGAATATAATGTAATTTATTATCAGTTATGTGCACCACACGGGTCATGTATTAATTATAAATAGACACTTTTATGTAATTTTATACAATTTAAACTTTATATAACATTTTTAATAAACTAGTATAGTTTGTATTAGATATTGATTCAATATTTTTAATTTATAAATATTACTTAATAAGAATTGTTAATTTATAAATATTAATGAATATCTCTTATCTGTGCACTGCACGGGACTCGTACTAATATATGTAGAGTAAAATGTAGCACGAACTGTTGGAGACCAGATTTAATTCTCTACTTTAGAGTAGAGTAAATTTTACACTAGAGTAGAGATAAAGAGTGGAGATGTCTTTAAGAATTCCATCACCACCTAACATAAAAAATAAAATAAAGTAAAATAGTGACATGTTTTGTCAGTGGTGTTCGTGTAGCTGATTGGATTGAACATGTTGCCCCAAGAAGACGAACGAATCCACGGGGTTGATCAATTGGGTGATGAACCCCTTTCATATGATTGCAAAAGGACCTTAATTATGTATAAAATATTCACATTATTTTGGTAAGGTAAACTATAGTGTATCGAAGTTTTTTAATTGGTTAGGCATTTTTTACATTATTTTAATTTTATATATATTTCATTTTAATATTTTTAAATATTTATAATAAATTTATTTTGTTTTATTTTCTCTAAATATTCATAAATAATTTATGATTGCAGTTTTCTTAATGTTTTGCTCACGTAGGAACAACTATGTGACATCAATTAAAACCAGCCATGTGGTGCTTACATGCGCTCATTTGGCAACTTAAAAAATTTCCGACGGTTTCGAGGATAAAAATTGCAAACATATATTTTTTTTTTNGTACATGAAGGAATCGTCTATACATAAAGATTCTATACATAAAGATTTTATTTTTCTTTTTTTTAAATCACCTATATTTACCAGAAAAAATATTCCAGTTTCCTCGAACAGAAATGTCTAAAAGCCCTTTCACCGTGTATTGAAATGGTATATTAGGTCCTTAGCATAATAGCGGCTGAAACCTGAAGTGGTATTTGCTTGTAGTTTTCGCAAGATCTAAAAGTAAAGGTACTCTTTTGTATAGTTGATCATTCACGTATCTTTACATTAACTATACCAGCACTTGATATATTTAACAAAATATGGACTGGGTTTATTCCAAGGGCCCCTGAGGGCCTGCTCGAGTAGCAAAAGGTGTAAAAATAGATGACTTTCTCATAAAAACAGTTCCCTTGTTCATGAGGACATTATTGATTTATTTCCACCGTTAAGACTTCCATTGATTGTTTTTTTGTACACTGTATGAATCGAGTTTCTTGCATGTGTTCTTCATATAACCAGGAAAATATCCACATGCAAATTTCCCTAGTTTGTTCACCAGTAGCATCCATTTTACCAATGGAGCTCTTAATCAAACCAAACGGCAAACACGACTCGTTTCAGCTCATAAAAAGTGAAGCGCGGCTAGTTTATTTACATAAACAAGCCAAGCTCGATAGCGGTCGAGCTCGTTTATTAAACAAACTGAGCCTAGCTTGTTCGCAAACATCTCATTTTCATTTTCTTTATTTTTGTGGAGTTTTTATTTTTCGCGAGTACACATTTGATGTTCGCAAACTCCTCATTTAAAGATTCAAGTTTATTAAACAAGCCGAACCAAGCTTTCACGAACCTAAACTAGTCGAGCTTCAGGCTTAAGTGAGCCAAGCTCAAATCATGACTTTGGCTCATTTATTAAACAATCAAGCCGAACTGACTCATTTATTAAACATTCACGAGCTCAAACGGGGGTTACTCGATTCAGCTCGACACCTCTACTTGAATAGAAAAACTGTGTGCACTTATCAGGAACATGTTCCACAATAAATTTTAGACACCACTCAAAATCCAGCTTTACCAATTTTCCTAAATTTTGACAGCCAAAAGATGAATTATTATTAGAACCAGTAAGGCCAAATGCACAATTNTAAAAAAAAAAAAAAAAAAAAAAAGCACTGGTCGATGTGAACAAGGACTAAGTGTGATGATAACTAGCAAGAACAAGACTCTTACGAACTGCTGGTTGAACAATTTACAATAGCTGAGGAGGTTCAGTATGCTGGGACGATCACAAATTCAACAGAGAGAATACACAGGATAACATGAATATATTTACAAAAAAATCCACAGCCTTTGGCCATAACTGTGCTGAGAACTAACCCTTAACATACAGGGAACACAATACACAGACTGATCTAAGCAAAGCTCTAAATATGCCCTCAACAGAGCAGGAATACGAATGGGCAGCTACAAAACAAGATGAGAGACACTGTACACATCTACCTCTATCATCCCGAAAGCCCTAGCAAAGTTCTAATGTACAATATTCGCAAAATTCGAACTGCCCAGTGCCCTCTTCATGATTTGCAAGAGAACTTTTAATCTTAGCCAAACACGAATCCGGCCCACAAGCTTCACTGAAGAGAATGCAAGGCGCGTCAAACATAAAGATATGCAAATAAGAGTTTGTTTTCTTTTTAAAGCAGGAAAATGCATATATTGAGGTGGAAGTCAATCTGAATTTGGAAAATTCAGCAAAGCATACTTTCAAGGTTAAGATCAGGGTCTTTTGACAATCTGTCATGAATCCAAATAAGTAACCAACAAAGATTTCACATTTAACATATTTCCTTTGAAATATCAAATTTACCCACTTTTTCAATGCCAATTGATAAGCACAAATACATAAATACTGTAAAATATGATGACTGACCTTGTACACTGACATCCGAAGCGAATGCTGACCAGACAAAAAGACCAGCAAAACAATCACAGCCGCACACCTGTTTTTACCGGCCTCATTTCAATCTATTCTCACCTGGCCCACCACCCAAATTCCCGTCTCCCGATTGAAGAACCTCCCCGTGTGGCTGTGAATATTGCGGCAACATCTGGCGCTGCTGAGAGTTTTGCGTGGCAGACCCACTAGCTTTCGAAAGCACTGACCCCACCGAACTCATATTTTTGGCCGAATTTAGAGTGGTTTGATCCAATAACACTTCCGAACCCTGCCACTGAGCAGCACTTGCACTGTCTCTGGCCTGGGGCAATGTCGTCACTTTATCCATCTCAGTCGAGCTGCTCGTTGGATTCTGATCAATACCGGGATCTCTCGTCTGTAGTTTATTCGGCTGCTGGGCCACTCTTTGATTAGGCAACTGATTATTAGTCACCGACTTTTGGTGAGACGTCTGCTGGCTGTTCGAACAAGCCACCGGGACATGGCCTAAATTGCTCTTATCTGTAATAGAGGACAATGAATGTAAATTCTTCGCTTTTTGTGCAGGCACAAATTGGACGGGACTTGTAGAAACCCCGTTTACGAGGCCACGGTCGATCATGTTATTCGGGTGGGCCACCGGGTTCCCTCTCCCGACTCCCTTAGCCACGTTATTATTATTATTAACCAGTTGTTGGGATTGTGTTTGTTGCCTCTGTTGAGGATGTGGCCTGTTGGCTTGCGACAACTGGTTCTGTTGCTGCCTTTGTCGTTGCTTGCTGGTGAGATTGGTCCCGCCAGCTGGTGCATTACGTGCAGCTCCTTGAGCGGGAGCTTGCTGTTTCGATGAATTCATTGGGGAAATTGACACTGGTGGGGAGACTGTCTGAGGCTGAAGTTGCGGATTATTTTGCAAGGTATGTTGGGGGGTCACAGAATTTGATGGGTTGCTTTGTGGCTGCTGAAGGATACGATTTTGCTGTTTTTTCTCTTTAGCCAGGCGCATTGCGTGAGCTTGCTGCTGAGGGCTGGAGGTGTGATTGGCAGTGGGCCCTGGGAAATGTGGGTGATGACGTGGACTAAGGGACTGAAGCTGCTGGGGAGATAATGGATGGTGGAGAGGGTATGATGGCACTGGTGGAGATATGGTCTGGTTAGGGAAAGGGGAACTCGACTGACTTATGTGGCGGGGAATTTGGCTGTTTACGGGTGGAGACTGCATTTGAAGGTCAGCAGGCATCATTGGCCTCTGTGAATCCTAAACCCCAGCAGGGTGGAAAATCAGATTAGCTTTAATACGTTAACAGAAAAACACAGATGCAACAGTAATATTATAATATATAGGGTAAATAATTTTTTTCAACCTGTGCTATATGTGCTTTTGGGAGTTCGCGGATGATCGTTTGGTCAAAAAAGTAGGCGAGAGTGCAAATAATGATGTATATGTAGTTCAGGTAAAAAAAAAAAAAATTAGGTTGAAAATCCCAAAAGCACGTATAGTACAGGTTGGAAAAAATTATATTACCCAAATATATATAGAGAGAGAGAGAGAGACAAAGGGGTATATGCATGACAGGAAACCAGCGCAGAATGTACAAAAAACACATGTTCTCCATTCAGAGCAGGCGAGGCAAAAAAGCGCCGATGCACCAACGATGGTGGCAGGCCCTATCTTAAAACACAAAAACTAGCAACACATGCGCTGAAAACAAGTATAAGCAGAAATCAGGCTGCAAGGGTAAGAGAAGTGTAGCAGGCAAACAAAATAAGTTTGGAAAAACATAGCATCTAGTTTCACCACATGCATTTACAAAAGCTTTGAGACAACGAAAGCAAATTAACAGACATAGAGCTAGAAAGTAGAGAATTAATATGCATAACATACTCGCATCATGTGCAAAGCTTCACGAGGCCTCAACATCGAGCTTCCTGCTGGACCAGAGCCCACTCCAGAATGCATATTTGGTGATGATATACCAGGAAAGACTTTACTTCCAGAATTGACAACAGGTGGCGATGCAATCCCTTGAAAACTGGGTCTCGCCATCGGCATACCTCTGCTACCACCACTCACTAAACCCATGCCACGTTCGGCCCCCGTAAGAGCACCAGGAGAAGAAGTGTTAGGTTGAGCCACATTCCTGGCAGAGAGCATCTGATTATATTGATTCATCCTCTGCTGCTCGTCAGCCATTGTTGGTGCAGGTCTCGGAGGCCCATATCTAGCATCTCTATTAGAGGCAAGAAAAAGAAGGGATGGGGGAAGGAAAAATTCAAAGAACAGATCACCTACTAGAAAATATAACGATTAAGGGTTGAGAAGGCTCTTAACAGGTCAAACATTACCTGACTGAAGAATTGAGAGACGAGGAAGATGACGAGAAGTTACTGCCTGCTATCATAGAGGGGGACCCTTGCAATGATGAAGTGGGGCCAGATGCAGAATGCATTGGAGTCACAATTCCTTGATTTGGAATGGCTAATCCACTAGAGTGCGGCCCTTGATACCCAAGAGGAAGCATATCATTCCCAGCAATGGTGGAGTCGCACAGGTCCAGAGGGCTTCCGTGGAGCAAGTGTTGGTAAAATTAGGAGAAAACGGAAAAGAGTTACTAGTCAGTTGAAACCAGGAGCATTCAATTCCAACCACAATCGTTCCAATTCCAATCACATCATTAAATCAACTGTGTATCTTACGTTAAAATGGGTCCTCCATTCAAGTTATTCGGACAAACTTGGGAAAGAGCAATTGCGTGAGAACTATGCGGTTGCTGGAGTTGTTTTGGATCCTGGTTATCATTCTTGAACAAAATCATGTCAATAAATGCATATCATAATCACGATAATACTAGATAATAAAAGGAAACATGGATCAACTAAAAGCATCCTCATTCTAGTTTCACTTTTAATTAGCCAGAAGAAGGGGGGATGTGATAGAAAAAACATGCTCGCCTTATCAGACAAAATTATGTATGTCAACATCACATAGAGTTCAAAACTTGTACCTGAGTTTTGTGGTAATGTTGTTTCTGACCAATAATGATGATCTTCTCAAAGTGAGATTTGAGGGTATCTTCCTCCATTGGCCCCTGCAGACGTTGAAATAACTGTCTCGCACTTCCCTATATGAAGCAGAAAACATACCAGTAGTTTAATTTAAATACATATTCCAGAATTGAAGTTATTGGTAAAATTGCTATGCAACGCAAGCTTTCACTCATATCTGAAGGTAGCAAGCATCTAACCAAGACACAACAAAAAAGCATTTCACCTTGGGAATTCCAGGTAAAGTAGAAGGATAAGGTTGAGAAGATCCAGAATCTTCGGCACTATCTGCTCCATCACCAGAAGTTCTATCCATCAAAAAATTGTGTCTCTCTTTGCACTCCTTAGCTTTCCGAAATATGCACTGCTGACATGAACATAACATTAAAATTTACTTGATAAAAATACATTAAGAAATAAGATTAGAATATGATAACCTTCATCAAGAAGGATAAAGATTAACCTTACCTTGAACTGAAGAGTATTGTTAATAGCATCACTGACGAGCTCCCAATTTGGGCCCAGGTCATGCGCAAGGACAACAAGGGCCTAAAATGATTTTTATATAATTATTAAGTAACACATGTCTATCATTATTCCACCATGTTCATACACATGTAATTCAGTAAATCAACCTGGTCTTCAAAGAGTGTCCATGGACTTCCTGAACCTGGTGGTCCAGCAGACATCTGAAAGAAATGACATTGCTTAAACCAGGGTTTTCCATCAAACGGTTTACGTTCAACATATATATTCAGCAAAAAACAGCATCAATGAATGGAAAATATACCTTCAGAAGCTTCTGTTTCCTACCCCGATCCCGTCCACCAAGCATTTTAATAAATTTATTTGGATTGGACATGTTACTCATTTGGGAAGTCACTGGAGAAGGTACAGACCCACCAAATGCTGTAATATTCTCAAAAGAGTTATCTTGTGATTGACGCATAGTTTTCTGCTTCTTTGCCATGGGTTTACCCAATAAACCTTCAAGCGTGACATATAGCACATCAGACATGATATAAAATGTATTCCATATGAACATCACCATTAACTTGAAGGTGAACAAATGTTACCACTGCTGCAATTAGATTCATGTAGATGACTCTTCCTCAAGTTATCTCTCTGAAATTGTAAAAGGGATTAGTATGATGCAAAATTCACTCCAAATACGCCAAATAATTTGGGGAACAAAAAAAGAAAACCATCCCTGACCAAAATAGAAATATATGAAAACACAACAATTGCCATGCCTTTTCTTCTCTGATGAATACAAATGGATAACAGTTTGATATATATAACGAAAGAGAATTCCTCCTGACTGTTAAATAGATACCACTTCAATGAGCTGACATACCATGTACAGAAAAGAGAAAATGCTATAAATGATGTTTCATGAAATAAACAGA